CCACTACAAAACACTAATCCATTACACGCCATTTATCACATATAAATAATCCATTATGTCCGACCACACAAACCACTAATCCACTAGGCACCACTAATCTATTACAGGCCATCGTCCACCATTAATCTCCGATACACATCACACACAACACTAATCCACTACACATACACACACCGCTAATCCAGTACCCCCCACATAAACACCACTAATCCACCAAACTCCACACATACCACTAATCAACCATACGGCACTACCCGCAAACACATCACTAATCCACTACACCGGCAAACACACCAATAATCCACTACACCCATATATACACCATTAATTCACTACCCCATATATACACACCACTAATTCACTACCCCATATATAGGCTACACCACTAATCCACCACCCCACATACACATCACTAATCCACCACACGCCACTAATCCACTACACGCCACTAATCCACTACACCACACCATGCTTCTAGCCACCACAAATCCCCCACAACAAACAACAAACCATTATTTGTGCTCACGAAACATCATCCTGCCTCCAATTACCTCCCCTGGAGGCAGAAACTATCGATTTTAGTGCTATATATTTAAATTTATGAGCCTTGTTCATTGGCAAACGACAGCGATACTTCTGTGTAAATTAGCATCACGCGAAAACCGACATCAACATTACATATATCGTGCACTGCTTCTTCATGGAAATGTCTAGAACACCACTTCTAATGAGAATAAGCACGGCTATGTTTAAATTCTAGATCTATCCCATAATACTATTTCCTGCAAAAGCTATTACAATAACCCTCCGCCGTAATGGCCTAGATATTATAAATAGGCATATCTTCAGAAAGTCAAAGATGTAGAAAAAAAACATAAAAAGAATCGTTCATTCTACGGGGATAACAAAAGATGGCCAGAAAAAAATCCGTCTGTGTGGGCAACCAAATTATTTTTAATAGCTTGCCACGTTGGACAAGCAGGGAAGACAAGGGAGAGAAGAGAGATTCTTTCATGTGGGCCCCCACTCAGTGAGTATTATCGGCGATCAAAGATCACAATCATTTATTTATTTGACACGTTTTTGTGTCCATTTTCCCGCGACAAAACATTTTCTCGTCTGACGCGTGGCGCGTGTTCACACGGAGAAATAAAATCACCCAAACAAGGGATGAACAAAAAGTAGGAGTTGATTAAACAAGAGAGATCACATGACACGGTGCTCCAGTAATCCGTGGCCTTGACATTTGAATTCATCAGCTTTTTAAATATTGTGTTGGTGTAGTGTTGGTTTTCGCGTGTGTGGGTGGAGGTTATTGTGTGCAGGTTTTAGTGTGGGCATTCATCTGAGTGCGTTAGCACTGATTTGTAGGGTTAGTAGTGTATTTGTGGTTGTTGGTGTACGGGGTTGCTGGTGTGTGAGATGGTGGTGTGTGGGGATGTTGGTGTTTGCGGTTGTTGGTATGTGAGGATGGTGATGTGTGAGGATGGTGATGTGTGAGGATGGTGATGTGTGAGGTTGTGTGTGAGGTTGTTGGTGTAAGGGGTTGCTGGTGTGTGAGATGGTGGTGTATGAGATGGTGGTGTTTGCGGTTGTTGGTATGTGGGGATGGTGATGTGTGAGGATGGTGATGTGTGAGGTTGTTTGTGTGTGAGGTTGTGTGTGTGTGAGGTTGTTTGAGTGTGACGTTATTGGTGTGTGAGGTTGTTGATGTGAGAGGATGTTGATGCGTGAGGTTTTTAATGTGTGAGGTTGGTGATGTGAGGTTGGTGATGTGTGAGGTTGGTGATGTGTGAGGATGGTGATGTGAGGTTGGTGATGTGTGAGGTTGGTGATGTGTGAGGTTGGTGATGTGTGAGGTTGGTGATGTGTGAGGTTGGTGATGTGTGAGGTTGGTGATGTGTGAGGTTGTTGATGTGTGAGGTTGGTGATGTGTGAGGATGTTGGTGTGTGAGGTTGTTGATGTGTGAGGTTTGTTATGTGTGAGGATGGTGATGTGTGAGGTTGGTGGTGTGTGAGGTTGGTGATGTGTGAGGATGTTGATGTGTGAGGTTGGTGATGTGTGAGGATGTTGATGTGTGAGGTTGGTGATGTGTGAGGATGTTGGTGTGTGAGGTTGGTGATGTGTGAGGTTGGTGATGTGTGAGGTTGTTGATGTGTGAGGTTGGTGATGTGTGAGGATGTTGGTGTGTGAGGTTGGTGATGTGTGAGGTTGGTGATGTGTGAGGATGTTGATGTGTGAGGTTGGTGATGTGTGAAGATGTTGGTGTGTGAGGTTGGTGATGTGTGAGGTTGGTGATGTGTGAGGTTTGTTATGTGTGAGGTTGTTGATGTGTGAGGTTGTTGATGTGTGAGGTTTGTTATGTGTGAGGATGGTGATGTGTGAGGTTGGTGGTGTGTGAGGTTGGTGATGTGTGAGGATGTTGATGTGTGAGGTTGGTGATGTGTGAGGTTGGTGATGTGTGAGGTTGTTGGTGGTGTGTGAGGTTGTTGGTGGTGTGTGAGGTTGGTGATGTGTGAGGATGTTGATGTGTGAGGTTGGTGATGTGTGAGGTTGGTGATGTGTGAGGTTGTTGTTGATGTGTGAGGGTGGGGATGTGTGAGGTTGTTGGTGATGTGTGAGGATGTTGATGTGTGAGGTTGGTGATGTGTGAGGGTGTTGATGTGTGAGGTTGTTGATGTGTGAGGTTGGTGATGTGTGAGAATGGTGATGTGTGAGGTTGGTAATGTGTGAGGATGTTGATGTGTGAGGTTGGTGGTGTGTGAGGTTGGTGATGTGTGAGGTTGGTGATGTGTGAGGATGTTGATGTGTGAGGTTGGTGATGTGTGAGGATGTTGATGTGTGAGGTTGTTAATGTGAGGATGTTGTTGTGTGTTGATGTGTATAAGAATGTTGATGTGTATGAGAATGTTGATGTGTATGAGAATGTTGATGTGTATAAGAATGTTGATGTGTATGAGAATGTTGATGTATGTGAGGATGTTGATGCGTGTAAGGTAGCTGATGTGTGTATGCTGAAGTTAAATTAAACAAAAATAACGAACCAAAACACGAACAACCATTGAAAATTAAATAATTTAACTGCACCGGGTAATCTTACTCGGTCACCCCCCCCCCCCCGCCCCCCTCGCCCTTAATCCCACATCCCTCGTGTAGCACATGGGTCACCACTGCATCAGGTGCGACGGATGAAGCCTCCACGTCCTAAAGAAGGTTGACTTCACAAAGCGGCTTAACGACTCGACGGGCAATCAATTGTAGAGCAAGTTTGGGGGGGGGGGGGCGTGGTGTAATGGGGCGGGGTCAGCTAAATACTGCCACAGTTTCAGAAGATTGCTCTAAGCAAGATTGTCCAACCGTGAAAAAATCAGAAAACGCGAGCTGAGAAATTTCTTTTTTATCGGGAAGTGGAAAAAAAAATTGTCAAGGGCAGACTACTAGGATGCAAAAATCTATTGACGGTTTAGCTAAGGAAAATCTAAGCAGTTAAGCCTGGCTCTATAGTGGCGGCGAGAAATATTGGGGCAGTATGTTATAAAGCTACAACATTAGGTATATGTATATGTTAACAGGGTGGGGGGTAGTATTAAAACAACGTAGGTATATGTTGTAAGTGGGGGAGTATATGTATTTACCAGTGACGTGCGGTGTGTGATTGTGTGTGTGGGGGGGGGGGGTATCTAGGGGAGCCATCCCAGCGGGGTATAAAGCGGAGCCCAGTCCACTAGTGGATTCCCTGCATAACCAGCTTCTCTTGACGGCTAATTATAAAACTGGTACCACGTAATACAAGCAAGCAACGAATTTATCATTTTATAATAGTTTTAGTGCTACAATCTAACCACGACACACACGTCTGCTGCCCACAACGTGCTGCAGAGCCATTAGACCAGTGGTTCTTTACCTGTTTGGAGGCACAGAACTTCACCAGTTTCATTATTGTTCTAGCGTCGGCACTGACAAAATCCGAACGTAAATCATGAGTCTTGACCTCCGCCGAACACCTGAGACTAACTCATCGAACCCCTGGGGTTCGATCGAACCCAGGTTAAAAACCACCGCATTAGATTAAAGAGATAAAGAAGAACCGTTACGATATAGGTTCCGAACCCGCAACTGACGGGATAGTGTCAAATTTCCCAAAATATTAGTATTGTATATCGCGAGGCGGGTTCACAAGACATCGGCCCAGGCTCCTGCATTACACAAGCTACGTTTATTAAATGGTCGGCTAACAGCTTCAAAGCTAACGGTCAGAACATGGTGTTAATAAAATATCACTTAAAAATTTAAAAAAAAAAATTATATTAGGGGGATATAATTCATTAAATTAATTTCTCACAAAATAATACCAATTATCTCCCTTATACATTGGGCGAATTGTGGGTTCTGTAAGATAGGGAAACCGTGGGCAAGCAGGCTTTATTTACTTTATACAGAGTTGTAGGAATAAAGAAAAGAAAATATTCTAGAAAATATATTGTTTATCAAAGGTTAGTAATCTTGTTTTCACTTATTATAGAAAGATACAACATTGTGTTGTATACTCTGTTAGATAACACAAAATGGGGTGTGATGAATGCTACCATTTGTACTATTTTGTGGACACCTAGTTTGCTAGCCAGACCAAGCCTAAAAGAATGAAGTGGTCAGCGCAGAATCAAATTGTAACATCTCCTATAACACAATGATGTGAAACACACATCCATGCTGATCACCAACTCGTATCAATGACTTGAACTCGAGTAGACTTTAATTTTACAGTCAAACCACTTTTTAAAACTATACCTCGTGAATAACCATGTCTTTAAAATACTCAAAAAAATATCCAAACAATTGTATTAACCCAATTCTTGGTCATTATATTTATAAAATAAATGAATAATAAAATATCAACTACAGTAGTGTATAGATGTAGAATGGGAAAAAAATGCATAGACACCAGAGGACACAGTGTAATTTGAATTTGAAGAAGAAAACAATTACTGTAAATACTCACATAGCATGTGACCTTGAAAACTTGAGAAAGTATTGAAAGTTCCTTGGTCTCTGGATTCTTCTGAACACTGGAATACATTTTTTAATAGACAGTGAAGACTGACTAGTGAGAAATGGATGGTGGGAAATGGAGAGTTGGGTCAGGATTGAAGGGCATGGATATTAGGGACTGGATAGTGTGGTTTTGATAGTGTGGACTGGACAAAGGGGTCTGGATAGTGTGGACTGGTTAGTGGGGTTTGGATAGTGAGACTTGCTAGTAGGACTGGATAGTGGATACTGGATAAAGGGGTTTGGATAGTGAGACTTGCTAGTAGGACTGGATAGTGGATACTGGATAAAGCGGTTTGGATAGTGAGTAATGGAAAGTGTGATCTCTAAAACAGAATCAATCAAGTTAACGTCCATGCACAATATATTATTAACTTACAACAGCTGCCTACACTAAACAGTCTCTATTACATGATTTGGTCACATGGCTTACCTAATAAGGTCTTTATAAAGAGATTTTGTGACATCAAGGTACGGCTGAACGTTGTCCTCAAACTGACACAGCCTTCCGCCAATGCACACGTGTGAAAACAGCATAAATAAAAATTCCTCCCTTTCTTTCTCATTGAACTGACAGTACACATCAGAGTCTTCATTCAGCAGCATCTGTCAACACAAAAGTTGTACACAGTAATCAACTACTAAAGTTACACAAAGTTTATAGAAATTAACTTATCTTGAATTTCCCACTTACATTACTTTAGAAAAATCTTAAATAGAAAGGTTCCTGTCATATATTTGTACATATAAACTATATATATGTAGGTATGGCTAATCTGTGAGTACAGGTGAAGATAAGCACTACCTGGCGCAGGTTGTCGCTGATTGTAATTTCTTCCTGATATTCGTCATAACATTTTTTGATGTCTCCAGATTCCCGAGCTATCTCCCCATCCAAGAGCTTGTCAAAAAATGCCATGGTCAGAACTGTGCAGGGGATGCTTTGAACTTCTACACTGCTGGCTTTGTTACCTTCAAAAATAGAGGAGTGATAGTTGAGTGGAAGACTTGCTTAAGATTGTGGGAGGGATGGTTGAGTTATAGACTTTTACAAGTTGAAGGGAGTAATTGTAGAATTGTTGACTTAGATCTAGATTTTAAAAGCACCTGAAACACAAAAATGTTAATTCTAGCAGTCAAATGAGACATACCTAAAGATACAAACTTCCCTGAGTCTGATGGGACTTGAACATTTGATATAACATGAGGGTCTCTAAAGAAATCCTGCAGGAAAAAATCATTATGAATTTAATGGAAAGATTTACATAATTAAGTAACATATTGCTCAAAGCAGCTTTAATAAATTGCTAAAATTGACATATCTAACAGATTTTAAACATAATTAACCATTATAATAAAAACCATATTGCACATTTTCTCTAAGATAAAAATCATTCCTATAGAAACAGCCCAAAACAAATTATAGCTAATCAATGTCATTTTTTTGTTTGTTGAGAAACAAAAAGAAAATATTCCTAAATAAAAGTGAATACATAAGTAAGCCTTCAAAGTGCAATTTATATTTGGGAACGCTAACAGTGCAAACATGTGATGTCATTTAAAAAATTTTATGTAAAAAGAACTCACCAATGCAAATTTTTTAATCTCATATGCTTGAAAACATTGATCAAATGTGAACAATTTAGCCTGCAAACTATTTTTCATTGACCTGTTTCAAATCAGAATGAAAAGATAAATTTAGATAAAAATTATAAGGATATAAGCCTCTTGCTACTGTGAAAATTAGTTAGTTGTTAACTTAATGTCCTGTGTAAAGATTAACGTTACTAGATCTCAATTTATGTCTTTGACTATGAAGTTACAACTTCAAGTTAGTAAGTTAGAGATCTCGACCGTTAATGCCGTTATTTTTTGTTAGGCCTTGATCTATCTATCCAAATTTTATTAGTAAAACTACATTTAAATATTGTAATATAAAAGGGTTATGGCAAAAACACACCATTTTAAGAAATATTCTTGGTTTTCTTTTCCTTCTATGCTGGCAAAACTCTTTGCGATTGGAAGAAACGAAAACTTTGCAATGCTGTCAGCCATTTTCAAACAATGCACATATCTAAGGAGGGGAGCATACTCTTAGCAATTAATTTTTAAATGTATTAATTAAAAAATAACTTTAACATGCACTGAACAATATTTAAAAATAAAAACATAAGTACAGTCTGTCAATTTTAATTTATCATATTGTTAGTTTATTGTAAATAATAAATGTAAGCTTTAAAAATATTTATAATAAAATATAATAAAATAAATTAAATGGATACATTCCCTTTCTTAGTTTACTTCCGGCGTAATGACATCATTGAACACTTCCGCCATATTCTCTTCCTGATCCAAGAAAAAAAGTAAATGTAAGTATATATTTAATTTTAAATATAAATGTCTAAAGACCTCTGCTTTGCAGTCCAAAATGCTTTTTAGAGTAATTTTCAACTGACTCAATTTGGTGCGTCAGTCTCTCACAGGGACAGTTGTTTCTAAAATATTTTTTTCCCATATTCACCAACTCATGTTTTTTTTTATGAAGTTCAAGTAGTCAAGTAGTGAGTAGTCTAAGTGAAGTTTGTTTAGTGAAGAAATCTAGACATCTAGATTTTTTGTTAGGCAGTTGCTCCCAATCAGATCAATCATCTACCCTACTCTTTTTACTTTTGCTAGAAATCTAGTAACTAGACTCACTCTCAGTTGCTGGCAGTTGAGTAACTTAGTCCAGTAATCAGTGAGGATCAATGCGGCACTCACTCCCCCCCCCCCCCACCTCTCTCTATTGATATATATAGGCCTAGTATGGATATACATAATATATTCCATTTTACAGTAACATTAAGATTCTATTAAGATTCTATCTAACTGTGGTTCTTAATAAACTAAAATCAACGCTGTAGGCCTAGTCCAACTAATTTTATTATTATTTATGGCAAGAAGGTGACTGGTGAAGGAGGTTGACAATTTTTTGATTATTTTATAAGCCCATCCTATATATTACTATATCATTTTTATATGGAGTACGCCAGAGTAGTTTTTACATAGGCCTAATTAAATAGTTAAAAAAATTGAGCCATTATTGTAAAAAGAGAGATTAATATAAATTAGACTCTAGTTCCCTTTCAAATATACAAAAGAAATGGGGACACTAATAGTGTTAAGAGTTGAACATAGCTCAGTGAATTTATACAATGAAGGCACCTTATATTAGTAGTAATAAGAACATAAAATTAGACTGACAAAACTCTTGTAATGGAACATAAAAGCACTTTTACAAAGTAGTTGAGGTATGATTTGTATCTGTACTTACACAAATTGTTAGTAGTAATAAGAACATAAAATTAGACTGACAAAACTCTTGAAATGGAACATAAAAGCACTTTTACAAAGTAGTTGAGGTATGATTTGTATCTGTACTTACACAAATTGTTAAAACCACATAAAAATTGTTGCAGAATTAAAAAAAAAATACCATAGCAACCACATATAAAGTAAAATAGAGAGTCTAAACAGTCTTATTGTAATAGAAAAACTTGTTTCTAAAATAAAAAAAATAAAAAAAAAACCTCAAAATGTATTTTCTTAAAACTTCTGGGTTTTAGTTTTATAAGCTTTCAGCTGTTCTGGTACTAGAAAGAGATAGTAAATGAAAGATGTACTCATTCATACATTATTAAACATAGTTTATCTTACTAACCCCTTTATTGTAAATATTGTTTTTGTTTATTATTTACCTTTATCAAGTTAATGACACAATGTCAAAATACAATTTTTGTTTTCTTTTTTTTTTGTGTTGCACATTTTGTTTTTTCTTGTGTAGTAAGTTATTTAAAGGTTAGCAATGAGTGTTTTAACTTGGTAAACATTATTTAAGTATGCCTTTCTTTTTGTGTTTATGGTTGTCCTGTCACAACATAGGGCATACAATTTGGGAATAAAATGTTGCATGTCGTGATGTCAATATTAAAATTATCATATGCAATAATGATATGCTTGTGCAAAAGTTCTGTTTTAAGCAATTAAACTTTTTTTGAAAAACTTATTTTTTGTCTATCAATTATATTTTAAATCACAAATAATGAAAACATAACGGTCAACTATCAATAAACTATTAAGAATCTGAAATAAGTGAAGTATGAAGTAGTACTTTTTTTCACCCTGACTGATCAAATTATCTTGGTTACTTCCCTTGACTTACTTTGCAGAATTCTGGATATTTGTATTTTTTCCCCATGTATCAATCCTTTTTTCAATTCTATCAAACGGGGACGACGTTGATAGTTATGCTGATGTCTGTTAGGTTATTTTTTAAAATTAATTTGTGTATGTGAGGATCATATTTTAGTATTGAAATATATACATATGTGAGAGGCCTTATACTTTGGTGTACAGCAAGAACGTTGGGGTTGAGGGAGATAGTGGTGTAATCTGGGAGAGGCTGAGTTGGCTGGCTCCACTTTATCTGGCTCGTTGACAGTGTTGATTAATACTGCTATTTTTAGACGTGTCACGTGGGATGCCTACAGATGAGTAGACTTTATGTTGAGTATGATTATTTTCACTTTGTCTCATTACATTGGTAGATACAGACACCCTCAATCGAGCTTTTATCTTGAGTGTGAGTTCCGTTTACACGGCCAGTAGAACGTCTGTGTTGACAGCACTAGTACACACACTTGGTGTGTTCACCCCTTGTGTCAAGGTCGGCCTTGGGTCGCGTGTGTTGTGTAACATCCCTGTAGGTCACGTGACAGTATACAGCCGTAAGTCGCGTGCTGAGTGTCGTCTGTTGACACGCTGGCGGTACCAGGCACGACTGTGTTGTTGTGAGCTGTTTTACTGCACGTGTGTGCTCAGCTTGACCACTTGATCCGTTGGAAACACCTGCCGTCTGCTCGTGGTCGTCATTTTCGTGTTAGACTAGTCACGTCTTTTGTTTTGGCTTGCTCATTCATATTTCAAAGCTAGTGTAAAACCCTTTTTTTTTGTTAGTTCGCTCATCCTGTGAATGATTTCAAACAAGTCTAGTGTGGTAGTGTAAGTAATTAAACATGTTTGTCTTTAGCGTAGCCACTCGTCATCGTAGGTGCCATCTTGACAGTTGCGTGGACTAGCACAGTGTGTAGACTAACACAGTGTGTAGACTGGCTGTGTTTATTTACTTAGCCCGTGACTCACATCCTGATTATTTAGCACAGTTGGTGCAAAAATTACTGGTAAAAAAAATTGCTCTAAATTGCCATTCGCGCATTATTATTATTGATGAAAGGTATCAAGTAGCTTCCCCTTGTTCGAGTTCCTTCCCTTCGGCGTTAGACTGCTGTTGTATCCGCGGCCTTAGTTACATGATCTTTAGCTACTGTGCTTTTATCACCAGGCTTATCTACCTCCAGGTACCGTATTCACCTCTACTCCCCACCATTCCCAGCACACGTCCATCATACCCTGATACACCCCTCCCCCCATAAACTCCCCTCCCCCACACTTACTCACCCCTCCCCCCACACTTACTCACCCCTCCCCCACACTTACTCACCCCTCCCGTGAAGACTGGCCCAGCACGTGAAATACTTCCTTTAATAACGTCTGTTGTGTTTCGAGTCTGGCGTGTTCCGCTAAAAGCTCGGCACTTCCCGCGGCCTGCTTGTAACTTCTCAAATCGTAACCCCAAGTTTTAAGCTGCTCAATGGTGTATACAGTTTACAATGTGCTGCCTTGGTGCTATCATGGCGCTGTGTTTACTAGAGAGGTTGATGTTGGTACTCAATGTGTCACTTGTAGCAACCGTGGTTTTAATCTGAGTTCAATCTCTCTAGTAGAGAATCGGGCATCATTGGTCGGAGGGGTCAGTCCTGGTTGGTTAAGCTGACATCTTGGGTGTAGGGGTCAATCCTGGTTGGTTAAGCTGACATTTTGGGTGGAGGGGTCAGGCCGACATATTGGGTGGAGGGGTCAGTCCTGGTTGGTTAAGCTGACATCTTGGGTGTAGGGGTCAGTCCTGCTTGGTCAAGCCGACATATTGGGTGGAGGGGTCAGTCCTGGTTGGTCAAGCTGACATCTAGGGTGGAGGGGTCAAGCTGACATCTTGGGTGGAGGGGTCAGTCCTGGTTGGTCAAGCTGACAGCTTGGGTGAGTGAAGTGAGGTCAGCGGTCTAAAATAAGTTTGGTCTAAAGTAGCGGGTGCCCTTCTAAAATAAGTTTGGTCTAAAGTTGAGGTCAGCCGTCTAAAATAAGTTTGGTCTAAAGTTGAGGTCAGCCGTCTAAAATAAGTTTGGTCTAAAGTTGAGGTCAGCCGTCTAAAATAAGTTTGGTCTAAAGTTGAGGTCAGCCGTCTAAAATAAGTTTGGTCTAAAGTTGAGGTCAGCCGTCTAAAATAAGTTTGGTCTAAAGTTGAGGTCAGCGGTCTAAAATAAGTTTGGTCTAAAGTTGAGGTCAGCCGTCTAAAATAAGTTTGGTCTAAAGTTGAGGTCAGCCGTCTAAAATAAGTCTGGTCTAAAGTAGCGGGCACCCTTCTAAAAAGTGTGGTGAGAAGAGCGGGCTGAAAGAACAGGTACCTGTGTGCTGATGTTTTCCCGACTCGTGTGCGCTCGTGAGCTGTGGTGAGGCGCGTGCAGCGAGAAGGCACGGGGTACATACCGGGAGGGTTGCCCTCATTGTGTGACCCGCGGAGGGAGGAATTCGTGGCCCATTAATGGCTGGTTGATGTCGTACGTTGTGGACTGTGATTTCGTATGGGATTTAATGTGTGTGTGTGTGTTCTTAGTGAGTGAGGGACTTCACAGGTAGAGGTACCTTGTCCTGTTGGGGGGGGGGGGGGGGCGTTTCTATGTCAAGGATTGTGGATTAGCTGGCAGATCTAGGGTTTTGGATTAGCTGAAAGGTCCAGGATTGTGGGTTAGCTGACAGGTCCAGGATTGTGGATTAGCTGAAAGGTCTAGGGTTTTGGATTAGCTGACAGGTCTAGGGTTGTGGATTAGCTGACAGGTCTAGGGTTGTGGATTAGCTGACAGGTCTAGTATTTTGGATTAGCTGACAGGTCTAGGATTGTGGATTAGCTGAACGGTCAAGTACTGTGT